GGATGGAAGGCTGAGTCAACCTTGAGCCGGCTACCTGGGATTTGAACCCCAGGTCGTGAGCACAGTTTTAGCTGCAGGACAGCGTTTTAACCACTGCTCCACGAGGCTCACTACGGGGCAACACATGAAAGCCTCTGCGAAGCCGCTGCCGCCATCATCATCATCACCCTCAGGTGCCCTCAAAGTCAGTTCCGACTCATGGCGACCCATTTTCAAGGGTTTTCCAGGTACAGAGAGGCCTCAGGCGGGGGTCTCCCCTTCCCTTCCCTTCCTCTGGGGACTGCCCTGCAGCTGCCCCGAGGCCACCCAGGCTGGCTCTTCTTCCAGCAGGCACAGCGGTGGATTCGAACTCCCAACCTCTGGCTCCACAGCCAGAGACCTAAACCACTGAACAATCCAGCCAGCCGGCTAGACTAACCCTCTAAGGTCAAGTCCATTCTGACTTATGGCGACCCTTGGTTGGGTTTTCTAGGGAGCGAATACTCAGAAGGGGCTGACCCTTCCCTTCTCCTGGGACCGCGCAGGTGGACCAAGGCTACACAGGCTGCCTCTCCTCATAGGAGGGAATCGAACTCCTCACCTCTGGCTTGACAATCGGAAACCCAAATCACGGGGAAAACAAAACAGAACGTCACCACTGAGGTGGTGTTGGTTTTTTTTTTTTTTTAACATTCGTTGGGATTTCTTGCAGCCCATACATTAAAGAGACGAGTTCAAGGAAGCACGCCACAGGCCCAGAACCTCCCCTTTGCACAGGTGCAATCATGGTCTGGTGCTTTTCCCCACCCTTGGACTGTTGTTTGTCGATCTTTTAGCAACTGAAGAAGAACCACCCTCACTACACATTTGATCTCCATCAGACCCATGCCAGAGTAAGAATGGAAAATATGTATTTTCTGGACGGGAATCACAACAGCCATGAAAGAGCATCAACGCCATCCCTGCAGAGCGTTCAAGTTTAACCATGTTCACAAACTAAAGAGGAGCCAGTGTTCTCCATGTCCTGAGTTCAGCAGAGGCACCATGAGCCGGAAGCGTGTGGCTTCACCCACCGGCCCTTTCTGCTCAAGCACTCCAAGGGTCATCATCCTGTCTGAAGTCAGGCTGCAACAGCTCCAGACCGTATGCATGGAGGCAGAGGCAGAGCACCAGACACAAGAGCCCGGGCGGGGGGGGGGAGCCTGGACGGAGGAAAGAGCTCTGCTTCGTTCACGTCCGGCGCTTGCAAAAGGTCAGCAGCCCCAGCTGGCAGATGTTCTGGGTTGTTCTCATCCCAAAAGTAACTTCCTGGAATGCTGGCCGCCTGCCTCTGTTCTGTGCAACTTCCAGCCCGTTTTCTTTGCCTGAGAAGTAACGCCGGAGACGGACATCTTAGCCAAACCCCGTTGATTCCCCTTGAGCTCACGCAGGCTGCTGTGCATAACCAGAGCCAGCCTTGGTGCAAATGTTCTTCTCCTCGATGGCCATCCCTAGAAGGCGACCCACGTTGTTGGTGGAGGCTCTGCTCTCGGTCTCCCTCGCAGCCACAACCCCCCCCCCGTGGGCAGGCTGGGAAAAGAGGCCGGTCTCTCCACGGCCACGGAAAGCCAGCCTCAGACCACGTCTGTTCTCCTCCTGCTGGCGAACGAGCCCCTGTTTGTTCAGACCCGCTTTTGGCATTTCGGCTCATGTCTTTGTTGGACGTCTTAGAAGAGGGAGCCCTTTAAGTTTGCGCAAGCATCTCGGGCCAAACCCAGAGGGAATGATGATAATAAAGAAGACAAAAACCCTGTGGCACCTTAAAATCTGTTATATTTTAATGTTGAGTTTTCATGGAACATAGTCCACTGCTTCAGACCTACGAGGTAAAATAGACAGTGACATGGTAGAACATTCATGCCCAGCTTAAAGGTACAGCGGTGCAAGGTTGCGTTTCACACATGCAATCATTTAGGTTCAGTTCTTTTGACGTCTGGATTTGTAAACGTTCCCACAAGAGGCAGGAAGTACTTCTTGAAGTAGGTTTTTGTCTGGTGGGTGTAGCTTCTTTCTAAGGAAAACAGTTGTGTGAGAAGCCGTGTGGTGTGGTGGGCTAGGACTTGAGAGACCTGCATTCAGATCCCTGCTCCAATCACTGGGGGGCGGGGGGGGCAATGTGTAGCCTGCATAATGAACTTGTGAACTGCCCAGAGAGTGCTTGAAGCGCTATGGGGGAGGTATATAAGCAACACGCCTTTTGCTTTTGCTCAGCCATGGAAACTCACTGGGAATGGCAGTGGTAAAGTTAAAGGTAAAGGTTCCCCTTGACAATTTTTGTCCAGTCGTGTCCGACTCTGGGGGGCGGTGCTCATCTCTGTTTCCAAGCCATAGAGCCAGCGTTTGTCCAAAGACCATTTCCGTGGTCCCGACTAGACACGGAACACCGTGACCTTCCCACCGAGGTGGTACCCATTTATCGACTCGCATTTTGCATGCTTTTGAACCACTAGGTTGGCGGGAGCTGGGACAAGCGACGGGGGCTCACTCTGTCGCATGGATTCGATCTAACGACTGCAGGTCTTCTGACCTTGCAGCACAGAGGCTTCTGCGGTTTAAACCTACTGCTTTAAAATTTCCACACATCCGGAAACCCCTCTTAGGATCACCCTAAGTCAGGGGTGACTGGGTCTAACTATCATGTTTCATACAAATGCCGGAGTAGGCGATACCATTACAGACTACTAAAGAAATCATACAATCTGCTTTCATAGATCAGATGTCTACTCGGTCGTAATGATGACCACATTGTTCTCTTTTGCTTCAATCCTATTTTTAATGCACACAGTTATGTTTTTGGGGTGACTTTGTACATAACCTGCATTCTGAGGACAGGTTGCCTTGATACCCTCTGTACACCCTGTGTTTAGAAGCAAAGCGGTATCTGCGTTATTCAGTAATAAAATGAAAAAAATAAATCTTTATTTTCTTTCTTTTTTTTCTTTCTTTTTGCAGGCAAGTTCTGCTGTGTCCTATCCCAGGTGGGCAGTGGTATTAACCCCGTTTGCACGACACACCCAGAGGGGGTCCTTCAAGTGTTCATGTTAGCCCTCATTGGATGCATTTTGGGTCAGGAGATAAGAGTAGGATTTTCCCTCGAGAGCAAATTGGCCGGTTTTACTGCCTCCAAGAGTCTGAAGCCAGTGTTAAATTGAAGTATAGAGGAGTGCAACTGATGATGGGTCAGCCATGCCTGTTCTATCATCAGTGGTTGCAGCCACCCACCCCGGGAGAGGCTGGACTTGCAGAGAACTGGAGGACTGAAGCAGCCACAATTAGATGGTCACACCCACTTATTTAATTCATTTATTTAAGGTATTTTTACCCCACCTTCCTCTTTAAAAAAAAAGGACCCAAGGCTTATATCATGAAAAGACAATATTTAAAACCCAAAAACAGCAAGTATACAAATATTAAAACACGTCAGACAAATGGCACACATAAAATAGCAAACAAAATCAACACCAAAACCAGATTCAACGTAACAAGGCATAACACTGCTTTTGTAATCATTATCTTAGAACGGCAGAGTGGGAAGGGACCCTGTGGATCATCCAGTCCAGCCCCGGTCAAGGAGGGCCTGTTGGGGAATCGAACTCCCTACCTCTGGCTCCGCCGCTGGAGACCTTACTCACAGAGCTAATCTCTAAGAAAAAGCCTGTCAGAAGATAAAAAGTCTTCACCTGCTTGCAGAAGGACAGCAAAGATGGGGCCAATCCAGCCTCCAGTGGGAGGGAGTTCCAGAGTCTCTAAGAGCAGCCACAGAGAAGGCCCTTCTCCCGTGTCCCCACCAAGCACGCCTGTGAAGATGGTGGGGCTGAGAGAAAAATGCCTCTCTTGATGATCTTTGCTTTGTTTTGGCTAAATTAGATAAAGTCTAAGTACATTCCTCCAGCCAAGAGGCCCACGGAGGGAGATGTGATCTTTGAGACAGATTGGACCCAAGCCGTTTAGGGCTTCATAGGTTAAAACCAGCACCTTGAATTGAGACCAGAAACGGATCGGCAGCCGGTGGAGCAGCTGTTACGGGGCGGGTTATGCGATCCCAATCACCAGCCCCGGTCAGCGGTCTGGCTGCTGGGATTTTCTCAGAGATCTCCCCCGCACACCCTGCTCAGAATACTTCCACTGCATCCGGCTAAGAGGCAGACGGCTGCAAAGACGCTGGAGGCTCAAAAGACAACGCATCCTCTCAAACGGGGTGCAGGTGGAGGTTTTGGCTTGTCCACGATCCCTCGCACGTGGCTGTGCTTTCTTGGTACCACTAGCTGTTGATGCCTGAAGCATCTGGAGGGCCGAAGCCCCCAGCCTGACGAGAAGAAGTCACTCTCTCCTACCGCCCCCCCCCACACACACACTACCAACTGGGCCAGGAACCTTTCAGTTGTGTCTTTTTTTAACAGAGGGAGGAAGGAAGGCCGAGAGGTGATGGTTTGTTTACCCGAGGTGCCCTTCGGGATCTGTCCTTCACCCTTCAACCCTGAAGCCTAGGATTCCGCCTGTTGCCCCCACTTCCCGGGGCCAGGGCGGCAACCCGTTCGAGGAGGAGCATTGAGCCGCCTTTCTCTGGTCTCCATCCCTGAAACATGAGCCAGGTGTTGCCCTCCTGCCCCTGGCACAGTTTGGAAGGCTGGCCAGAGCGCGGCTGCCACTCCTTCCAGGGAGACTCCAAGGGCTCTCCATCCACCACAGCCCCCTCTTCTGCTTTTGGCCTGCCCCGTCTCCCCTCGCCGCCCCTTTTTGTTGCACCTCAAGGCCAAGGTGGGGGTTTTCCTGAAAACAGATTGGTCCCAGAAGAGCCCACTTGCTTGCAGGCCGCCTTCTTCCTTTGCCCAGGAAAGTCTGAGTCTGACTCCTCTCCTCCCTGGTTTCCCCAAGCACCCACCGCAACACGGCCAGGCCAGGCCAGGCCATTTGGGGGGGTTGGCAGGAGGGCAGAGGGAAGCAAGGGTGTCCTTGGCTGGCCATGTGACAGCGGGTGCCCCCTGGGGGTGTGGGAGCGCCTGAGCAGCGTGGGCCAATGGGGGGTTGCAAGCGGCCATGGAGAGCCCCCCCCCCCCCCTGTGGCGTCTGGGGTTAACCCCTCTGCCTGTGTGATTGTGTTTGCCTAGCACAGCTGGACGGATGTGCACCCGGTGGAATTACAGCAGGGCCTCCCTCCAGGCTCCCCCCTTAGACTACTCCTTCCGTGGCATCAGCTTCTTGCAAGGTAAGACCGAAGCCTGTCGACTCCATGTCTTCTGTGGTCTGTTCCGAGGCCAGAACCTCCGTAGAGAACGTGGTTGGAGGTGAAACCCTTGGCCGGATCTTCCTCCCCCCCCCTGCTGTCGGCCCAATTCACACACGGCGCTAAGGGCGCGTCAGGAGTAGCCTCTGCAGCCCTAAACCCTCGCCCTACACCCAAACCCAGCTCCTCCGTCTGTTGCTTTTGCCACCAGACCTGCTGACGGAAGAGCCACGTCCCGGCCTGAAACCCATCAAGCTGTCGGAAGGGGGCCGGTTTCTGACCCAGGCCATCCGGCTCAACAACAACACTCTCAATGAGCTGACCGACTTCTCGGACATCATGGCGAAGCTGCTGGAGTATCCCGAGGACATCTATTGGGTCGACCTCTCCTTCAACGACCTGCCCATCATTGACCCGGTACGTACGGGCAGCAGTTGCTTCCAGAGCCACATGGGGCTCATCATTGTTAGACAAGTGCAACGTGGAAAACCCTTCCCTCTCCCAGTCTCTCTGCTTCGTGTCTCGGACTGCCAAGCGGCATTTCCCTCCCTGTTTATTAGCTGCTCCCAGAACTTTTTCGTCTGGAAGGAATGGTTCAGGACCAGTCTCCTCAAAGGGGGGCAACCCAGAATGGCAACCCCCAACATCAATCCCACCACAGGTGGAGAAAGCCTTTTTTCAATTGAAAGAAATAACGGTCAGCCCCAGAACCACACGGAGAGCTAGAAAGCTTCCTTTAAAACAAACAAGCACAGGAGCATAAAGCAGAAGCCAAAGGCAGGTAGCGCAGGATCTGGCTCACTTTAAAGCAGGAGGGGGGTGGTCCTTTGTCCCTCCAGATGTTTTGGACTACAGCAGCCATAATCCTTGACTACTGGCCTTGCTGGCTGAGGCTTCTGGGAACCAATGTCCAAAATATCTGGACAACCAGATGTTTTATACTTTTTAAAGGAGAAAGGCAGGGTAAACAATTTTAAATAAATAACCAAAGGTTCTCTCTCACTCACAATTTTTTAAAAGAAAAAGGCAGGGGGTAAGGCGTGTGGCTGGCGGGGGTGGCGATAAGATTTCTCAACCCTGCAGCTGCAGCTGCTCTCTCTCTCTTTCTCCCCCCTCAGGTGCTGACCTCCTACTACAACCTCCACAACCTCAACCTCCACGGGAACAGCATCCAGCACCTGTCCGAAGTGGACAAACTGGCCGTGCTGCCCAACCTGCGCAGCCTGACCCTGCACGGAAACCCCGTGGAAGAGGAGAAAGGCTACAGGTAACAAGGCAGCTGCAGGGAGCGATCCGGGGCAGGAGCGGGGGTGGGGGGTGGGGGGGAGCAGGGCAAGACCTCTGACTCAGCCGGTCTTGGTGGCTTCGTTTTTTTGTAAAAGGGAGGTGGCCGTGCGTGCATTGGGTTTACGCACACCAAAGAGCCCCTGTTCTATAAAGGGGGAAAGGAAGACCGTTCCCCACTCCTGCCGGGTCGGCAGCGAGGGGCAGGCCGAAGGATTCTGTTGCCCTTTTTTTTTTGCCTAGGAGAGGATTTCCCCACCAGGCCATTGCCTTCCTTCAGCCATTTAGTCAATTTAATCCATCAGTGAGGATTAAATGGGCACAGTCCTTCTCAAGGAAAACCCCTCCTTCTTTCGGAATCCATTGGGAAGTGAAGGGATGAGCTGGTCAGCCCTGAGGTTGTCCCGGAGCCAGAGGTCCACAGGAGAAGGGGAGGGTCCTTTTGCAGCCCCAAGGAGGGCCGGGATCTCAGCCTGAAGACCAGGGTGTCAAGACGCCTCCCCTCCCACAAACAGGGAGGGAGGCTAGCCCAAGTGAGAGAGAGAGAGACCTCTGTAATCTATGGAGCCTTGGGTTCTGGATTGTATACAGGGACCCCATGGCCATTTTTCTTCCTTTGTGTGTGAATGCCGGTCTTCTCCCTGATTAGAGGGAACACGGAGATCCTTCCCCCCCCCCCCCCACCCCCCCCCCCGCACCCTTGGCGCGCCGTCC